CCAATAGGATTTTTTCATCCCAAAAATCCAGCCAATCAGAGGTTTTCGATATTGGGCTTTCAGCCAGTAGAATTTTTCCTCTCGAAAATCCAGTCAATCGGGGGTTTTCGATATTGGGCTTTCAGCCAATAGGATTTTTTCATCCCGAAAATTCAGCCAATCAGGGGTTTTCCATATCGGGTTCTCAGCAAATAGGATTTTTTCATCCCAAAAATCCAGCCAATCAGGCGTTTTCGACATTGAGCTTTCGGCCAATCAGATTTTCGCAGGCAGGAACTCCAGTGAATCATATGTTTTCGCTGACCGAGTTGTGTCCAATAAGGTTTTTGCGCAAGAACTTCAGCAATGAAATCTTCTCACACTCTCGCTCTTACCGAATGAGATTTTTATGAAGCTGAGGTTTGTGTGAGTGAAATGTTTTCCCGATTCCGCTTTGTTCAACCAGTTTTTTCAGCTGGAAACTGAGTTAATCAGATTTTTTTATTGTACGGCTTTGCTGCAATCAATTGTTGCAAGAGTGGGAGAAGTTGGTACTTATAGCGGTCTAGAGGTTTCCTTTCTCCGTTGTTCACAGGTAGCTATGCCTTGTAGACCATCGATTTTTTAAAAGCTCTGGCAATCAAAACTGTAAGGAACAGATTACAAGAAACTATGGTTTTTGAAACTTCTCACCTAGAATTTTTCTATTATAAATACAACAATGTTTTACACTAAGCCAAACGTGACCCGACTAGAATGCGAATAAAAGAGGGTGATTTACTGGGAATGTTGGTTTAAACATGAAACCGGCTAGCCATGAGTGGTGCCCTAAAGGGGCGCCGATGAAGGACTAGTCCGTGATCTGGCAGGTTCGCAGAAGGTACACCTTGGGCCGGCGGAATTTATAGAAAATTGCTCATTGATCGAATCTCACCGGTTGAAAGTATCTGAAAACTGCGAAAAACTGAGTGCGGTAATATGAGTTTTGAGCCTCGATAAATGGACTGGAATAAGGAATTACGAACCAAGAACAGCGATAATGACAGACAAAGAGCTGACGTTGTAGCTTCAGACGGAAGAAGGTCTTTCAGAAGAATGCAAATGAAATGTATGTTACTGTGTGCGATGGTTAGGAACATTAACAATTTGTCAAAAAATCACAGAGCGAAAGGATTAAGAAGAAAGTGAAGGACTGTTTAAAACCATATCGGTGTCATATACGAAAGCGAGCAGTCGCGAGTGGTGGCTCGTATTGACACCGGCGACTAACTGTGAGCTGCCTCTTACGGTTAAATCTGGAAAATCCTAGGAGAAAATTGAAAAGTGAAATCTTTTTAGAAAGTGGTCGTCTCCTACAATAGTATACGGTTTTTTTCATACATGTATGTGTATATAACAATAGTTTTCACAACGAAATCTAGAAGTTAATGATAGATAATGAGTGGACGGGATTCAATCGAGGGCTAAGCGAGTCGTAACGACGAGCGTTACTTGTTTATTAATAGGTAGAAAATAATTACGTATTTTCATTTATTTTTAAGTATACATAAATGTCCCATACACTTATCTATTTATACAGAGTAAGTGAACGTAGTATAACATGAGCTACTATCTAAAGCCTTCTCAGAATACTGCTCAAATAAGTCCATCTATTTTAAGAATGATAAAAGCGAGTCTAAAGATTTATTATTTGAATAATTTTAAATAATAACAAAATGGGTATGAAAAATAGTTATTTTGATTTAATTTTGAATGGTTTTTACGAAAATCAAACTGTAACCCTTTCCAGTTTTCAAAGATGTGATGCAACTAATGTATTAAGCACTGCTTTGTAACATTCGGCAGGTGAATGCATTGAGGATGTGACTACGGCTCTGCAACAATATCTCTTGAGAAATCCAGAACCACAAATACATCAGCAGCATGTCATTGGAGATGCTGTCTCGAAACCATTTAGTCCCATAGACATTTCGTTACGAGGAGACAATGCTGCAATCAAATCGCCGCATGCAACAGCACTTGTAGAATACTTTCGATACACTAAATTGTTAGTTTGAGTATATTTAATGGCAATAAGACAAATGCTACCAGTTGATAAACATGAGAATATATCAGATGTATCATAAGCCACGATGGATAACGGTAGATCTCTGATTTCATATACCTGCAGAAACTGATGGACCTAGCTGCTCACTAGCACGAAGATATAACCATTCATATCTACTCACCGCTATCCAGAGACAGCATAGTATTGAGAGCACATAGGTGACTTGAATGTACAGTCATGCTCATGCCCTATTGTTATTCATCCTGCTACAATCATATCTACCCAACTTGAAAACTTGACGCATTTAAAGTATTCTGCAAGCGGAGTTGGGTGTAGGATGGGCGTGCGAATATGCATGTCATCTTATTTTCACGCACACTCATATCCACATCCCTTTTATAGCTTCGTTCTGCAACAGTGATGAGCGAGATGGATCTGGGACTGATGTTGACTGTGAAGGTACATATCCGAAAAGTGCGGCAATAATCAAAAGTGTAACAAGGCATGAGATTGCATCAGTGGCGTGTGCTCACATGAAAAATGTGCTAGTGAGCACCCTATTCCAGGGGTGTCGCGAAGTCGTCAAGATTGGAGAGGGACGACGACTCGGGAAGTCGACCAAAAAATTTTTTGCTAAAATTCACCGGATTGGGGGGGGGAACGAGCGACTTTTTGAGAATCGGTGAGCAAAAAACAGAATAAAATGCTGTAACTTTGCTGGGAAAAAACGAAAATTTCTCAAGATTGGGGGAGTCCCCCCGTCCCCCCCCCCCCCGCTCACGACAGCCCTGTCCTATTCTGTTATCTAAGAATATAGCTTCAACATGTAACGATTCTAAAAATTTGTCACTGCAGTCTCATGCAGGGCAAAATGCGGTTGCCGATGTGTGAGGATTTTTTCTATCACACCATATAGGCATATCGATATCAACACCTGAATGTTTAAAGAAACTTGTAATATGATTTTTCACTTTCAGTACTAGTATGATAACAGTTACTATTAATGCTGTTAAGTGAACTTTATGATGTGAACATCCTTTCAAACATGTGTGATGCAAAAACTATTTCATGAGGGTCTTATTACTATTTTAAATGTAGACGAGGTGTTCTTCAGAATTTTAGGGTTTTGATTTATGATACATTTTAGCTACAACAACAACTACAACGACTACAACCACTACAACAACTACAACAACAACTTCAACGACTACAACGACTACTTCAACGACTTCAACGACTTCAACGACTTCAACGACCTCAACAACTACAACAACTACTTCAACAGCTACTACAACAACTACCAGTACGTAAGAAGTTAATTAGCCAAATGATTCTTTCTAAGGTAGTCGACTGAAAAATGTTGAATATTTGAAAATTTGGGCGGTCTTTCTTCTTTCATGGTTCTTTGTGAGTTGCTTTGCTGACATAAGAACTTCTCACTTATCATGTTTCTCGTTGTTGTTCGCTATTGATCTTATCCCTCTCTTTGAGATTGCCTTCTTTTCTATATCTTCAAGAAATGATTACTATTGAAAAGATAAAGAAGTTACATTCGTGCTTATTTCTCAATAACATAACAAACAAGAGTAAACAAAACTTTTACAGCGGTGAAGAGTACTTTTGATCAGATTGAAGTGTTTTCATTATAATTCCTACAGCATTCGTAATAACTCCATGACGAATAGGATCATTTTATCCATTTTATTAACACTTCCGAGGCAACCCACTGGTGCAGCATACAGTTGGCTAGTTCGAAAGTTCTTTTACCACAAAAACAATTGACTATCTCTACCAGTTTTTGATCAAGGATATTGATTCTTTTATTAATGTTAAGGGTGTGGGTGTTCTTTGGTTTGTTTTTAAATCTATTGATTGAGAGTATCATTTTGATGAATGAAATTTTAAAAAAATAACAGAATATGTCTATTTTATCATCTACAACGTCATTTTGTTTCATTTTTCTGACATAAAATTTTCGAAAATCATGATTTTTTTAATTTTTTAAGTCATTGGACACTGATTTCGAAAAATGTAGAGATAGAGAAATGAAAAGTTGGAATAATTTGGCTGATAGTCTTCGCTATTGTACATCAAATGAACATACTAAAATACCCGCCTCTTGCTAGGGCGTTTACAAAAGTTTTCAAGAATGCATTTTTAAAAATTTTGAAAGTTTTTTCGAAAAAAGAAATTTTGAAAAATTTAAAAGAACTGTCGAGTGATATCTTCTCCTACCTCTCTCCTCAGACTTTTCACTTCGGAAGACTTCTAGACATATAAACGCGAAGTCGAATGTTTATGTTTCCTACAACGTCATTTGTAATACTTCTACTTTTTGTCATTGAACAGAAAGGATTGTTATGTATCATTTTGTCTAATAAAGGACAGCGAATAAAATAACCTTATTGGATTACTATTTTATACAAGACTTAAGGTGTTATTCCAAGCACACATGAAGTACTGTAAAAGTACTGGTCTTACCTCTGTTTAACAACTACGATATGATTGAATAGACAGTAGGTGAACGCTTTGAAAATGTTAAGTTTCCCGATATATTCGAAGACACGACACCTTTTCTTTTGTCTTAGCGTTCATAAGTTACCAGCAGGTCTTGTCATATGTCTCTTTCAAAAAACTCCTTTTTGGCAGTATCGCTAACAAACTTTGGTTCCAGCCAGTTTTCGTAAAATAAATCATTAGTAAACAAGTTTATTACATTTATATCTCATGCATAAAATGAAAAAACGCATATCCTACCCTATGAAAAGGAAAGAAATCATCATTACTAAGAAATATTCTTAGAAAAGTACAAGCAAAACTTTCTAACATCTTGATACAAATCTAATAGATTTCTTTTTTCAAAAGAATTTTATTATTACTTGCAATATTTAATCTTCTGGATAGTTAAGCAATTCAAAAAAGAATATGAACTTCTTTTGTAGAATTCACTTAAGACAGCTGTTTCTGTTGAGGTTAGATTAGTAAAGATCGAATTAGTGTTGTAGAAAAACAGTAGTTGAACACAAATTCTGATTTTACTTTTATGTATATTTCAAAAATGTCTTTGAATGATATACAAAAAAAGAAGTGCGTCGTCAGATTCATTAGCCCTCGCTGAACAAACGCTGAAATGTATATGTGAAGTTAGGTTTTCTCTAGTTATAAAAATCTGTTTTCGAATAAAAACATTTCTGAATGCCCACAACAAAGGAGGGGGACGGTTTGTCCACGAAACCCCACAAAATAAAAATCACCATAATAAAATCTTCTGGTTTGTCTAAAATCGTATAATCTTGAGGAGATGAAATTAACGTACTTCTTACAATTGAAATTTCATAAAATTTTTACGCTGGTTTCAATGCATCTTTGGATTTTACTGACTACTAATCTGAATCATAACGTAACATTTTTCTTTTTTCTATTTATAGAAAGATGCAGAGAATGCTCACCTGTATCAAATAATGAAAATCGATGGCTAATATCTATTTCCATTAAAAAGTTATTAAAAAATAATAACCAATCTTTTTTCTTTTTTGAAATGGTATCATTATAGGTCGGTTGGGATTAATTCGTTTTCGGTTTCTGATAAGTTATCAACTTATAAGTTACTTAATAATTACTATATAGAAAAGTACAAGTAAAACATCACCGCTAGTTTCGCGATGATTTGTTTGAAAAGATAGTCAAAGCGACACAAAATACAACATTCTCGAGGCTTAAACATAGTTCGAAGTTTGAATATATTTAAAGCTTCTATACCACATAAACTTTCAAATAAATAAGATCAAGCATCAAAAGAATATTTCTAGTGATAAATGAGTGTTTCTATTTAGCCCCTGGCTGTCATCTGTGTTCTGGATCATCGTATAGTGGCTCTTGTTACTCATGTACAACTGCGAGTAATGATTGCATATATTCTTGCTTATGCTATCCGGTTTCAGGTTCGGCCATTAGTACATCAGTAACACTTACAGCAGGTTTTGGAAACGGTTGCGTCCTTGCAAACTTTAATGGGCAACTTATCTGCGCTGGCTCCTGTACTTGAACAGGACTTCTTTTTCAATTTTTATATTATGACATTATGCTATCAATTGTGAGGATGAATTTTCGACTTTTTTTTTGTTTCTCTTTGATAAGAAACGATTAATAATGCGAACTGAGAATGAAGCTGTAGATGAATGAACTTCTGTTCGCACCTGTTACCCTCAACTCTGACCGGACTTTTCGGTGGTGTGAAGTAGAATTCATTCTATCTTGTTGTATCTTGAGATGGCATGGAATTTTCATGGGACAGGAATATATGGAGGGTGTGGGTGTGGGGCGTGCGTGTGGGGTTCGGATGTAGCGTGGCTATAGGTATTGCTCGTGACTCCACCCTCATCCACACCCACACCTACATCCATACCCACATACTTGCATATCAATCGTCGATATGTTTTTTTATGCTCTATTCAACGCAATCAACTATGTAATTTGAAAGTAATTATGGATTAACTTTTGAGAATGTCAATTTCAAACAAATATATTAATATGAATGTCAATAATAAGTTTAAATAGACACATATATTAAAATTAATAAATTATTTTTCCTTTATTTACTGGAGAAAAAGAAACAAGAACTCATTCTTCTTTTCACTGAAAAACTATCGGTGCAGGATGTAAGTATGGATATGATTGAGGATAGAACCCACACGCACACGTACATACCATAGTCATATTCTATACCCACACCTCACACTCACACCCACACCTCTTTTCAAGTTGATTCAGTTTGCATATTCAATGAACTGTTTTTATGATTAAAAAGTACTTGTACTTGATCAAAATTTACAATAAACGTAGTATTCTTCAACAGCATAAAAGACTATAAATATTTCGTGAATTTTCTGTTTGAGTCTAACATTGTATAATTTGTATGTAAAACTACATCGATGCTGAAATCAAAGAAGATAGCCTCAGGTGATGAGTTGATTAATATCAAAGACTTTAGTTATTACATAAAGACTACAGAGATGTCCATCGCGGCTGAAGATCTGCCGTTGCCGCGCCGCTGTGGTATAAAATTGAAAGCAGCCGCGGCGCTGTGGTATAAAATCGAAAGCTACCGCGCCGCTGCCGCGCCGTTGTGGTATAAAATCGAAAGCAGCCACGCCACTGTATTATATAAAATACATGTTGTCGCGGTGCTCCTGCATCTCAACGTACTAAAAACATTGCCGTTATTGCAGGATGGTGTGGGTGTGGGTGTGTATGTGGGTGTGAGTTTTTATCTTCTCTTTCTAACACCCACACTGTCATACCCACACCCACACTCCACACTCACATCCACACCCCACGCCCACACCCACCCATTTACTCCTTCACAGAAAAACCTAGCCCAGTTATTGTTCGGTCTAGACACATTTTCTCATGAGAAATGCATCAATACTACTGACACAAAAAAGCTCCTTTTTTCGTTTGCCTTTGTCCATTAAATAGCAGCAAAAATCAAAAGAACATCGATCAAACTAATCTGTTACGATTCCTTATCAGTCATTTCTATTTTATTAAACAAACACTACAGTGAACTAGTTTCAGCTAATACGCTAGTAAAGGGTTTCTATCATTTTATAAAAAGCCCGTAGATCTATACTTTCTTTTTGCATCGATGTTAAAGTGTAGATTATTACTGATGAGTGTACGAAGAATAGTATTGACTGCGAAACTACGACTTACTAGGGAGCGGACAATATAAGACATTCGCAAGTTCATCTTTGGAGCTAGTCCCTTGGTTCAGTCGTGTCTATATATGTTGCATTGCATTTAAAATTGTAGCCTGATTCACCCTTGTATAAAAACAGTACGTGCACGATTGTGAAAAACACTGGAAATTTCTCATCTATGTCAACTTTTTAAATAATCATACACCATATCACGATTTGACCTACTTTATTTCATTAGAACACAGTCGGTTTTATAAGCCAAAATGGTCCATTAGTGATATCGATGACAGGGTGGCTCTATATATTGTTTCCATTCACGCAAAACATGCACATCCACCCTCCTCAAATATCCACAACAAGTATTCCTGGGATTAACGGTGGATTGCCATAGTATTCACAAGATTCTCATGTGATTCAGAAACCCAGAAATCCCCTGATTCTCACTTGTAGATTGCTTAAATGCTAACATATTTAGATTAGAGTCAACTAACAATGCAAAGAGATACATGATAAAATGACGAAATTAGTAATGTGAACTTTCAATTAAATAAGACTACCACCAGTATTAAGTACAAATAATTACAAGTAAATACAAGTGTGATTGAACGAAATTTAGTTGATTCTTGTACTATCTTACTTTGCATTGAATACTTCTCTTTTGTTTTCAAAAGCTCTATATAACTTACTTTAATTAATTAAAAACATCTAGTCAAGTTTAATGAGATTTTCAAGTTATTGAATAATATTTTGTAGTTTTAGTGATGATACCATCAAAAAGCATATGATTCAAGATTTTCAAATACAGATAGAAGTGAAAAGGAAGATATGCATGACAGAAAAAAAAATTGATCAAATTATATATGCGATGACTAATGGCTTTGTATACACTATTAATCCTTAAACCAAATATCATATGAAGAGCTAGAGTATATAAATAAAATTACTATACTTCTTCATCATCTATGATTATTCCATAAATAATGTATCCTTGTTTAACTTATTATCTACACCAAATCATTCGATGGTTCATGCTATTTCAATGATTACTTTCATCTAATTCTAATTAATGTCGATGGATATTGCGTACAATAGCAAGCTAACATGTATATAAGGTTTTTTTTTGAATGAAGACAAATAATTTTTCCATTAAAACCGAATAGAATAAAAGCAAAGCAACAACAATAATCTTGATTGTCAAATTTTATGCTTGAGAAAAGCAAGAGAAGACATACAACATCGAAAATTGACATTTTTTAATGAGTTGAATAAGAAGCATTGTTCATATCATAGATGGTGCATTCAAGTTTAAGATGACGGATGTACGCGTTGCAACAAACATGAACAACGTTTGCCTATGACTCGGTAAAGACCCAATAAATGCTATACGAAAATGTGTAGACCTGCAGTTAATCCACTATACAAACCAAGCAGTGTTGTGAATATGTAAACAAAATTATGTTGTTCGATATAATGATATTGACATATTGACGGAGCACATATTTGAAAATATGTAGAATAATTAGCTGAAAAATTCAATGAATATACGAAATATTCGTCTAGCATCGATCCAATTGGAGTCGTTGGTAGAAATTGTGTTCCACTAAGGTTACGTTTAGTGAATGATCTATAGAAAGCTGTATTTAGTTGATTGACGCAATCATCATCATAGAAACATTCAAATGTCGACTGTGAAAGACCACTCATTATTGAACATCCAATCACAATGCCTAAATAAATAAAATATCAATGATATGTAATTTAGTTTTTCAACTATCATCTTTTAATCATAGAACTTTTTGGAAATCTCAATAAGTCAATGTAAAATGATAAAAGCATATGAGAAAGTTTGATTAAAGAGTTTACCTGAAAATACATATGGAACACCAATAGAATTATAGTATATCGGTATCTTTTTACAATTTGATTTACCACTTGGACAAAAACAAGTACCATTGTTCAATGAAACAGGACTGTTACGAAGAATATAGTTTTCATTTAAACTTGAAAATTCTGTTTGCCAGCTTGTCATATATTTATTATGAAATTGGTTTGCTTGAAGGATATCAGAAACCGATTTATAAGTCGTATCTGATGTGATCAGAAAATTCTTATCTGTCCCAGTCATAAACAAGTTAGACCATACATGAAATGTTTGTAAGGTCATTGCTTCAACTGGTATTAAACTTGCGTGAACCAATTTGAATATTAGCTGGTCTGAACTTGCGTTGCAAAAACACATCGATTGTATAGGGTAAGAAATTGTGGTCGGACGAGATTCCAACTGGATTCTTCTCGGAGTATGTTTGTTGGTAATGTTAACATCATGAAAAATGGTTCTAGCAGGATCTGGTAGCAACCTTCTTCGGATGTCAATGAGAACTTTGAAAAATTCGTAAAAGGAATAGCTATATTTATACAAGGACATGATAAACTATCAGAATACTGGCTGTGAAGAAATGAAAAGTAAGTTTCATTTGGTGAATCAACGCTTATCAATATTTTCTGATGCTGAAATCGTACGAAAACTGAGATAATCACGAAACATAGAACAAGTAGAACAATATAGATTCTTGTTGCTAAATATTAATATTCCACTTTTTGTTTCTTTTTGTACACATTCATTCTATAAAGTTCATTTCGAATATAGGTAATAATCATTCTCCAACGTAAAGGAATATCTAAAATAATTTAAGATAATTAAAAAATGGAAGAACAAAAGTTTCTCACCTCGTGTTTGCTGAGAGCACAAATGATAAATCAGATAGATGATTTTGATGAATGATGGAACGAAGAGACGAAGTAGAACAGTTAATCCTCCAATCAGACCAATAACTAAGTTAACACGACTAATAGAATGTAATTTCTGATCTATTGTATATGTACATATCTCTGGCTGACATTGAGCATAGTACAATGTATAATTTGCTATATAGATCTGTTGATTAAGAAAAATGGTTTGCAAGAGAATTTCTAATGCTTGTTGAGACTTGAAAAGGATCATATCGTTCGGATCAAGTGCTGTTATATTACTTAAATCAATTGGTAAATAGATATTTTCATAACCATAGAGACGTTGATCAATCAACATCTGAACACATGATTCATTGTAAAAACATTGTAATGTGGAATAACTAAAATCTAAAAATTGACAACCAAGATATAGACCAGAAATAATTTGAAATGGTTTGGCATTCGTTTGTGCATATGACGGGGAATAACCATAGAAACCCAATGGTTTTAAACAAAAATAAACTTGTTCACAATCACATGGCAGATGATCATAGTTATTAGTGTTACTTGAAGCATACTGGGGAATCCGTGTGTTATTGATCTGCCTGGAGATTACAGAAGGATCAATAAAATCGAATGAAATTAAACCACTCTCTTGAATACTTTGTTTCACTGGATACAATTTAGTCCAGAATATTTGGTTAATCTAGATAAAAAAAAATATAATGGTACATTTTACTTTTCAGTAACACTAGAGTAATGTTATTTTGCTTTTTCAGATTTATCTACTTATGTTTTTTCTTTCCTTTTTTGCAGAAGATCAATATTATCGTAGATATTCTTCATCTAGTAGGAAAGCGTGTCGCATAGTACGGAAAAAAATTCTGATTTAGATGCTCAAAAGTGTAAGAAAACATGTTTTTATGCTATCTGTTTTCATTGTATTCTACCTGCTGTCGAAGATACTCTTCCCAATTTTGATTTGTTCCATTGAAGTCTAGTCGAGTGATCGGTTGAGGAGAGAAAAAATACTCGTCTTGAAACGAATTCATTATGTTAGACAAACTTATATTGACTATGTCACAGAATATCTTAACATAATTAAAAAACTTCAATCCATTCTTGCGAAAATCAGTCCAATAAAATGGTGGAGTAGGATCGATGGTACCATTGAGAAATTTCATTGTCCAATATTGGAGCCAACGATCATTGCGAACAAAACTACTTGTACAAAATGGATGAATTTATACTTCGCTGAATATGAATGTTGAACGTTGTATCAATGAATAGCGACATGGACATGATAGAATCGATGAATACATGTCATGAAGATGTTCAAATTGATCCAGACTTGGATTTCTGACAATGATTTGTTGTGGCTTAACTATTGAAGTAGAGTAAATGAACAAAATGTGAATACCACGTATCAGCAATATAATATAGATACGAGTAGAATAAATACCATGTTGAACATTGGTAAAAGTTGTCTTGAACAAATTCAATGTGATAACTTTGTGACCAATTAGCTTAGCAAAATTCCATAAACGATCTCGAAAATCTATGGAAAGAAAAAGTACAAGAAGAATAAAACATATATTGAAGGAGAGATTGATTTTACTTCTATTGGATTCATGTCTTTCATCAGCTTCTATTCTTTGAACTCGCCGGCGACATAAACGTAAAATGAATTTGACAAACAATGGAGATGCTATACGCAATGCTACACTTAGTCCACCAAAGACACTAGCCATGGTTGTAATCATGTAAATGAGAAGAAAACGTTGTGAATATGAATATGAACAGGCTTTGGGTGCACAAGTTTGGAAATACATGACAAAATCAGTAGAATTCTTCCAAGATTCAACCATCATATTATCAAAAAGAACACCAATAGTTGTTGTTGGACTGAATCGTGAAAAAGATTTTGAAATATTCAGAGCTGAGACGGTGCGAAGAGCACCAATCAACGAAATCACGATGTCTAAACATGATTCATTATAAAAGCATTCCAATGTTGATTGAAATAATGCATTTTGAGGTACACATCCTACTTGAAATCCTGGTATAATGAATAGAGGCGATTCATCAAGTGAAAAGATTTCATTCGGAATGATAGCTCGTGATTGATTATAAATTCCAGCAGGATAAACACAATCACTTGTACGATAACATCGACATGTTTCATTCAACATCGATGATGATTGAGTTCGATCCACTTGTTGTGGATAAATGGCAGAAAAAGTTACAGAAATATTGCTACCAGGAACACTTCTCGTATAGAAATTTGTTCTTAATGCAGATATAAAACGATGTTCTTCAACCAAAGATGACACAAAATGATTGAATGAACGGAAATTATCAAGTGTATTTTTCTGGAATTGTTCAATAGCCATGCCTATATAACTATTGAATACATCACGAGACAATGCATTTAGTGACAATATTGTTGTTTTGGCGAATTCTTTGAGAGCATCGTTTACAGCTTGACGTGATGTTCGACAGAGAATAGATAAAACTTGAAATTGTGCAGAAGCCATCAAACGAAAGTCAAAAGGATAGTAATTGCTTGTATTGACATTGAATAAAGAGGAAAACCATTCTTCACTGACGAAATCACTTGAGCAAACTTGATGAAATTGTGGATTGAATGACAAAAATTGCGGATAAGGAACCGATGTTTGAGAACAGCGACACGTAACTGTAGTTGCGTAAGTACTGATAACCTTTTCGAAATCATTGACAGATGGTGAAGAAACAGTAATTAAACGTGTTTGAGGAATAATACCAGTAAATGAGAGTAGAGTTACGAGAGTGATCAAAAGTAAGATAATGAAAACACGCGTAGATAGAAGCTGATCAGCCAGAGTCAACTCATCATCTTCATCGTATAGGTTCAGATTTTTGATGACATGTATGAATTGGTTTCGACATCTAACATAAGTATTAGCTTGGGTAGTAGACCCCGTCGGGTAGGACCCGGACCCGGACCCGCACGGGTCCGGGTCCAAAAATTTTACTTTGGCCGGGTCCGGGTCCGGATCTGAAAATGGGTGTGGGTGTGGGTGTGGGTGTGGGTGGTGTGGGTGTGGGGTGTGGGGTGTGGGGTGTGGGTGTGGGTGTGGGTGGTGTGGG